GATCAATACATCTTAATTGCATGTTTGATCAATTTCAGACTGAAGAAGTTGGTAGAATTCTTCAATTTCATCATTGACTTTAGTGACTGGTGTGTAAATTTGAATAAGAATTGTATTAACTGGTCTTCCTTGTAGGCGGATGAGTATTATCTTATCACAGACAGCATTATACTTCAAGAGAGATCTTGAAATGTTTTTTGATGACAAGTTCCCTCTTCAACTTGTCATTTCCGGCATAGAAAACTGTGTGATTATCAGATACAAAATGGCTAATATCAGTCCATTTCAGTTCACTAATGCCAAGGATATTAAATGTCTATGTGTTTCATTTCATCTTTGACAATTTCCAGTTCACCTAGATTAAGACTTCATACATTCCATATTCTGTATGTTAATGGGTGTTTACAGCTCTTTCTTTTCTTTTTGAGTTGTGCTCCATCAGCAAATGAATGTACTCCAAATGGGCGTAACTCTGCTTTGAGGAGACAGCTCTTCCCCAGTTGCATTTTGAGTGCCTCCCAACCTGAAGGGCTCATCTTTTGGCACTGTATCTGGCAATATTCTGGTGATCTTCATCATATTTCAGTGTTCAATATTCTGTTGTTAACAGTGTTGCACTGCAACGCATAAGGTTTTCAGTGACTAACTATTCGGAAGCATTCCATTGCTCCTTCATCCTAGTCTGTCTTCATCTGGAAGCTCAGCTGAAAGCCGTCCACCATGTGTGACCCTTCTGGTATTTAAAGTACCGGCAGCATAGCTTCCAGAATCACAGCAACATGCAAGCCATCACAGTATGACAAACTGACAGACAAGTAGTGGATTGGAATATTACTCAACCATAAAAAGAAATGGAGTACTAATACATACTGTTACATGGATGAACCTGGAAAACAGTGAAGGAAACCAGTCATAAAATGCAACATATTATCTGGTTCTATTTTAATGAAACATCCAGAACAAGCAAAATCTATAGAAGCAGAAAGATCAGTGGTTGCCAGGGACTGGCAGGAAGGAAGAAGGAGGAGTTAATGCTGAGGGATGTGGAGTTGTTGTTGTTAAGTGCCACTGAGTTGGTTCTGACCCATGGCAACCCTGTATAGGGTTTCCAAGGAGCGGCTGGTGAGCTTGAACCAATGACCTTGTGGTTCAAACTGACTTTGAAGTCCACTGCATTAGCTCAGAGCACCTACCACAGCAGGACTCCAGAGTCTTCATTAGCATGATAAACATGTTCTGGAATTAGATGGGTGATGATGGATACATACTCTGAACATAATAAAAAGCCATATCCAAAGAACCGAGGGCAAGCTGTACTTGATCACTGTGAGAAACATTGTTGACACCGACTAACACTCAAGTAATCCAATCAGTACTCATTTTAGGGAGAGTGAGGTTTTCTTTACTAGATTTTCAAAATTGGGTGCCCAACCCAGTAAACATGGGCAGATGCACCACATGGCCATTCCACAAACCACTTTATTCCCATGTCTCAAAAAAGCTCCTCCTCCAATTCCCCTTTTACTGGGTACTATGGAGTTTCACAGTCTACCATCCCCGCCCCTCCCCTCCCAAATATCCCCTTTACCTTCCCACTAGTTCTGCAATCTAGCCAGAAAGGCGCCCAGGGTCTTAATGACTGTATTCTTATTTAAAGTTCCTAGTCCTAGAATAGATTTCTTTCCCCACTTCCCCCAGTTCATCCTGCTTACCTATCCCTGGATGTGTCTGGTCTAGCAATCTCACAGATGCTTTATTCCTGAAGATGGACCATCTTGACAATTTCTCACAACCATGATCAAGTTGACTTTCAAGTTCAAACAGTTTATTGGCAAAGCGAATGTATGTTCTCAAAGTAGAGAACAGGTATCACTTTGCGGAGTGGAGAAGACCCGGATGGAGTCTTGAATCTGCATTTTTACGTATCTGCTCTAATATACAGCAATAAAGGGGAGGGACATTCATTTAATTCCTAGTAAAGGAGTGGACGTTTCTTGGAAATGAGGTGTCACCCCTTTCTGTACTTATTTGGTCCTCACTAGGAGTCCTGGTGTGGTGCTGTGGATTAATGCGCCAGACTGCAAAGTCATTTGAACTGCAAGATCAGCAGTTCAAGCTCACCAGCTGCTCCTCAGAAACCCTATACAGGGTCAGTATGGGTCAGAGCCGACTCAATGGCACTTAACAACAACAACAAAGATTTGCTATGAAGCTGAGGGATGTGCAATTTAATTTAGTATGCTAATAAAGCAAAAGTGACTTAAAGGTCATCTAGCTTTCAAATGTGAGTGTCCAGGTTTAGGCAAAGTCCTTAGCTAGTAGTTTTGTCTGTTTGTGCTTGGTTGCAGTAATTTTGATTGGCTGGTTCTGCTTGGTGCTTCGGCCCTTGCCGTTCTTTTCCTTTGCGGTTGGTTGTACCTGATACTCTTTTCTCCACCCTGGTCTCAGGTCCTGCTTCCTTTTTCCTTGTCCCTAGATGGTTCCTATCATCCTTACCTTCTCCAGTTCCTCAGTCTGTTAGTTCTGGGAGTTGAACTGTGAGAAACTAGGGGTACAGGAAAAGTTCTTAAATTTCTCAAAGGAAAATGAAGCTCAAATAGCCATCCCAGCATAATAGCTACGTTGTTGTTGTAAGGGTCATCAAGTCGGTTCTGACTCATAATGACCTTGTCCAGGGTTTCTGAGGCTTTTAAATCTTTCTGGAAGCAGAAAGCCTCATCTTTCTTTCATGGAGTGGCTGGTGGGCTTGAACCTGAATGGAAGGATAACTACCAATTAAAACAAGAAGTGATTAATCTTTTTTTAAAAAAAGATTAATTATGGGTTGTAGTAACTAATTATGGCAGGTAGGGCAAAATGAGACATGGTTAGGAGAGATTGATTGTGGAAAAAAGCTAGGAAGGTTGTTGCATTTTACTATAACTGGAGGCCTGGTGTGGCGCTGTGGGTTAACCAGCTTGAACCGGCGACCTCGCGGTTCAAACCGACATTGCACTACAGTGCATTAACCCACAGCGCCACACCAGGCCTCCAGGTAGGAGGATCTGTTATGGACTTATGGTGTAGCGCTCTAGGATCATCATTGGACTGCACTTACCACCAATAACTACCTCCCATTGGGAGGACTACCAGAGGAAGGCATACGTGTTTTGTGCAAGCCACTGACCCCACCCCTAAGTAGCGTAGTGGTTAAGAATCGGGCTGCTAACCTGAAGGTCAGCAGTTCGAAACTATGGGTAGTTCCGCGGGAGAAAGAAGAGGCTTTCTGCTCCCATAAAGATTTATAGCCTCGGAAACGCTGTACAGCTCCACCGCACATTACAACCACCACCACCATTGGAGAAAACCTGCCTACAGTGGGAGCAACACCTAAGATACACAAAACAACTAAAAAGTCCCTGAAATTCTTCGGGCTTCTATCCCATGCCAGAGATTTCTATAAATCTTCCTTTGCCTTTTTTCCTCCAGCAAGCCCACCTCAGATTCCCGTTCACCGGGACCCTCGGAGTGGCGCTGTGGGCTAAAGCGTCAGATTGCAAAGTCGTCTGAACTGCAAGGTCGGTGGTTCAAGCTCACCAGCTCCACGGAAACCCTCCCTCTACAGGGGTCGCTATGGGTCGGAATCGAATCACTTAACAACAACAGTCCCTCTGTATACGGATACACAACAAATGCTTTGCTCTTTGCAAAGAGTATTTGCTATGTTAACGACATGTAATTAAAAACGCTTTTGTGGTAACAACTGGATATCCTTTAAGGTCCCTTCCACTTTAATGTTCTATCATAATTTGATGGTTTTAAAACCTACTCTTGAGGTTGTGTTCACTGGGTTCAGGAGAATGACATACATTGAGTCATTCAATCAACAGTTACGACATATTCTTATAGGGTCCCGTGTCTCTATGGAAATAGACTGGGCGCCTTACTGCTTCCAACCGTGCCCATTCACTTCCGGGAATCCAAGGTTTTACTTTCGCTTCCGCACAAAGCCGAGACCCAGGTCACGCGCCAGGAAGTGCCTGGAGGTTCCTATGGAGCCCAACGAGGCCCAAACCGGAAGTGGTTCCTGGAAAATTGTTGTTGTTGTTGTTGTTGTTGTTGTTGTTATGTGCTGTGGAGTCCGTTCCGACTCAAAGCGACCCTGTACAGGGTCTCCGAGGCTGTAAATCTTTACAGGAGCAGAAGCCTCATCTTTCTCCCCTGGAACAGTTTATTTTCCAGAGAAACCTGCATTTGAAAACCATGCCACTACATTTGAAAACATGGTCATTCTTCCTGAAGGGAAGTGTAGAAGATGAGTCTCAGGGATCTCTGGCTCTCGGCGGAGAGGACGGTGCGCTCCTCCCAGCAGCCTAGGCGGCGGCGGGAACCAAGATGCAGCTGGCCAGGATTCCCGGGCGAGCGCATCTCAGTGTGGCCCAGGCGCCCAGCGAGGTTGCCATGGAAACAGAGTGTGCTGGTTAGATGCGAGGACGCGTCCAGGCCGCGCCTTTACTGTCTTTCTGCAGAGCGGGCTCACAGGACAGCCGGCAAGATGGTTAGTGTCCCTGAAGAGGGAGGGAGGACTTTGCGTAGGTCCCGAAGCTAAAATCACAGGTTCCCGGGACGCGTCTCGGTGAAGTGCAGGGTGTTGGTAGAGGGTGTTCACCGACTCCTGCGGGGACTGAGATGCAGCTGTGAAGTACCTGGATGCTTTCTTGCCTCTTGCCTCTTTCCCTGCCCCCTTGTGGAATGAGGAGCAGACCAAAAGCAGCCTGCGATGACAAAAAGTCTTCCGAAAGCATCTGGGACCCCAGTCTAACCAAAGAGATGAAAGAAGTGGAGCGTAGCAGTTTGGCGGCTCAGCGAAAGTACAGGCTGGCCCTTCTAGTAAAACATGCCTTGCAAAAAGAGTTTGATAAGCGTCCCTGAGGTTCCTTGGTAGGAATTTGGCATGTGAGGCCTGGAGTTCTCAGTGTTGATGGTCGAGGACTTTACTACTGTGTTTGTTTCTTTCACAGATGCTATCAAGGGCCAAACCTGCTGTAGGCGGGGACCTACCGCACAGTGACAAGAGAAAGAAGAAAGGTAGGAAGATTCCAAAAGTAGAGGAGCTACTTTCTCAGAGGGATTTCACTGGAGCTATTACCCTGTTGGAGGTAATGTCCAAAAAGGTTGCATCATAGGAGGCGGTTACCAAAATAGGGGTGAATGTTGGGTAAATGCTGGTTACTGTGTTGTTGGAACAGTTGGGTGTATATCTGGGTCTTTGTCAAGGGACCCTTTGTAACTCTTGCATTGACACAGTGTCCGCAACAATGGCTTCAAATGTACTAACGAATGTGAGAATGGTGCTGGACAAGGTGGCGTTGTTATTGTTGAAAGTGCCCTCAAATTGGTTTTGACTCATAATGACTCTGTATATTGTTTCCAAGGTGTAGCTGGTGTGGTTGAACTGCCCACCTTGAGGTTGGCAGTCCACTGCTTATCCTACAGCAACACACCAAGATGCCCTACCTCAGATTGTTGTGGTTAAGTGCCATCGAGTCGATACTGAAACTCTGTATAGGGTTTCCAAAGAGCAGCTGGTTGGTTTGAACCACCCAAACTTGAGGTTAGCAATCCAGTTCTTACCCTACAGCACCGCACTGTTGTTGGCTGTTAAGTGTTGTCATGTCCAGAAGCCCTATATAGAGAGTTAAACATTAGGCTGCTAACTAACCGTGAGGGTGGTGGTTCAAACCCACTGGCCACTCTGATGAAGAAACATGAAGCGTTCTGCTCCCATGAAGATGTAAAACCTTGGAAACCCTAAGGAGCAGCTCTTCTCTATCCTGTAGGTCACTATGAATGGAATCAACTTTACAGCAGTGGGTTACAGTGAGTTGAAACGGACTCATCAACACTTAGCAACAACTTGTAAATACGGTCAGATACGTTTTCCAAGCTAACTACCAAACTGATTAAAGACAAACTAAAATACTTCCATTGAAGAGTGCTTGTGATTATGTCTAGGGCAATTAATGGAGAATCCAATCTAAAAATATAAAGAGACATTTAGTACACTGTCAGTTCAAAGGTTGTTTACCCTAATCCCTGATAAGTTTAAGACTTATTCCTGTTTTGTTGTTACATTTTTTATTAAATTTAAATGGTCCTACCATGCTGGTGGGGAGCTCTGGTAGTGTAGTGGTTATGAATCGGGCTGCTAGCCCCAAGGTTGGCAGTTGGAAACTACCAGCTATTCTGCGGGAGAAAGATGAGGCTTTCTGTTCCCGTAAAGATTTGCAGCCTTGGAAACCTTGTGCAGGGTCACTGTGAGTTGGAATTGACTCCACGGCATACAACAACACCATGTTGGTGGAAGCATGGTGACTCCATACAGTAAGCACTAGACTGCAAACCACGAGGTCTGTGGTTCAAGCCTGCCAGCCACTCCATGGAAGAAAGATGAGGCTTTCTGCTGCCATGAAGATTTAAAGCCTCGGAACCTCTATACAAGGTCTCTATGAGTCAGAACCTACTTGATGCAAAAATTGTACCCACAGAAAATATTTTAAATGTTTGTGGCAGTAAGAACACAAACCAATCAAATTCACTGCAGTTGTGAGGCTTCTGTCTCCTAGCAACCGTCCAAGACAGAGTGAAGTGCTCCCACAGGGTTTCTGAGACTGAAAACCTACGAGAGCAGAACGCTTCATCTTTCTCCCAAGGAGCAGCTGGTGGTGCTGTCGCTGGGTTAGCAGTCCCACAATGAACCCACTGTGTCACCAGGACGTCTCAGTCATCTAGATGCTGGGGCTTCTGATTCCTTAGGTCCCCAGGTGCTCAGGAAGTAACTCGAGTGCTTCCAGGTCAGAGTCCAAGTAGCCAGTTCACTGAGCCGCTGCTTTGTGGGAAGGACGCATTACAAGATGTGCAGAAGGAGGAGGCATTTTGACAGTGCGGCTGTGAAGTCATTTCTCCTCAGCACCATTCTTGCCGCCTTGTTCTGACTCTCTAATACTTGGTTTCATTGTTCAGTTGCCCGTTTAGAGTCTGTTGCTGCTGACTTCTGTTAAACACAGTTTCATCTCTGTTGTGTCAGTTGGTCACTTTTAAAGTGACAGGGTTGACTTCAAAGGGCTTTGAGCTCCATACATCAGGGGCTGACTGCTGTGTAGGAGCCTGGGCTTCGTCCGTTTCTGGTTCTCATCTCTGGTTTCTTGAAGGCCACTCTGTCCCTGGTGTGCTGGGCAGGGAGACGCCACCCTGGGCTGACCTTTAGTAGGGTGCCAGTGGGAGTGCCAACCAGGCTGGGAAAGAGGGCTACTGTGATGATTCTGGGTGAAGTCATGAGTTCTGTAGCTTCAGGGAAGGTCTCGGGCAAACTCAAGGAGATGTCAGGTCAGAAGGTCTCCAGACCTAAGCTGCTGAATTCAGATTCCTTGCATTTGGTGATAGGAGGTTTCCTAATGTAGAGTCAGCTACAGCTGTAAGTTCTCATCCCAGACAAGAACATTGAAGGGGTGTCTTCTTTGTGTCATGGTAGAGGCGCCCAGAGTCCTGCAGTGATAATGCTCTGTAAAGATGTGGGGCTCACTACCTGCTTTTCCATCCTGTGAAGTGAAAATCTCACCTCCATGGTCATCCAGACTCCTCCCTCGAGTTTGCTTTTCCTCCAAAACAGGGCTGCTTTTGATGAGCCAGAGGAATTCATAAATATTATTCCCAGTGGACATCAATAAGGCCTCTCTCCCGTACTTCTAAAGGGCGCCTGACCCAAGCCATGATATTTTCGCTTGCATCAGATGCATGTGAAAGTTGGACAGTGAGTAAGCGTTGGTGCATTTCGGTGATGGTGTTGGTAAAGAACATTGAACAGACCATGGACTGTCAGAACAACAAACCAATCTGTCCTGGAAGAAGTGCGGCCAGCATGCTCCTTAGAAGTCAGGATGTTGAAACTTGGTCTCAGGTACTTTGGACACATTGTCAGGAGGGACCAGTCTCTGGAGAAGGACACCATGCTTGGTAAAGTGGAGGGACAGTGAAAAAGCAATAGAGTGACATGGTAGCAGCAACAGTTGGCTCAAATGTAACAAAACTGTTCCATTCTGTGTCAGGGGTGGCTAAGAGTCAGAACCGACGTGACAAGACCTGAACTCATGCAGGCCCTACTGGGCTAGCCTGTTCCAAGGTCACGTTGTTAGGTGGCGTCAAGTCGTTTCAACTCATAGTGACCCCAGGTCCAACCTAATGCAACACTGGCTGCTTTTGTGGCTTGTCCTCAATGAGAAGCTACACCCAATTAAATTCAAGGTAGAGAGGTCAGTTCACAAGGTGATGATGACTGTTTTTTGAGATTCCTGAGGGATCCTGGGGAGTCCTCTGGTGTGGCGCTGTGGGTTCATGTGCCAGACTGCAAAGCCGTTTGAACTGCAAGGTCAGCGGTTCAAACTCACCAGCTGCTCCTCGAAAACCCTATACAGGGTCGCTGTGGGTCTTAACAGACTTGACAGCACTTCACAACAACAACAACAAGGAATCCTGGCATGGTGCTATGGGTTAATGCACTGGACTGCAAAGTCTGTTTGAGCCACAAGGTCGGCGATTCAAATTCACCAGATTCTCCTTGGAAACCCTATACAGGGTCGCTATGGGTCAGAACCAGCCCGACGGCACTGACAACAAGGGATCAATCAATTGGATAGATTTTCTATAGGAAGCAATGCCATCATGGAGGATTCTGAGGAGGAAGTTTTAAGAAATTGAAAACTGCATTGGTGAGACAAAGACCAGGAAAATTGTGCTAAGAAACCTTTTTTTCCATCACAAAAATGCACTTGCTCATTCTTGGAGGGTAACAATGGCTCCTAAGAGAATCTTGTTGGGAAGCCTTACCCCATCTACCCTTTTGCCATGATCTTGAAGAACTCTGAAAAGGAGCACAATTTGAGTCCCTTGAGGTTATCAAAACTATTGTTTTGATGTGGTGTGAGCCTTGCAGAGCCTTCAGGACAGTGTTGTTGTTAAGTGCCGTCAAGTCAGTTCCGACTCAGAGCGACCCTGTATAGGCTTTCTGAGGAGCAGCTGGCGAGTTTGAACTGCCAACCTTGTGGTTCGCAGTCCAGTGCTGATCCTACAGTGCCACACCGGGAGTCCCGGGGCAAGGTTAGAGGCAGAAACTCCGCCCCCGGAAGTGCACAGACCTAGATGAGGCTGTGTTGAGAAACAAGGGCATCACGTTTTGATATTTTTGTTTAACAAAGGTTACTGTGATTTTGTGGAGTCCTGGTGTGGTGCTGTAGGTAATCACTGGACTGCTAGCCACAAGGTCAACGGTTCACTCCATCCACCCTGTACAGCGAGGACGGGGAGACTTTTTTCTGCTAAAATGTATACCATCACTCACGGGCCATGCAAAATTATCAACTTAAAAATTAGCCTGCTATATTTGCTCCTCGGAAACCCTATACAGGGTCACTGTGGGTTGGAATCAACTCAATGGCACATAACAACAACAAATTTGGTCAAACAGTTAACTCACCCCTAATGCAATGGGTTGTGGTCAGTGGTTCAAACTCACCAGCCACTCCTTGGAAACCTATACAGGGTTACAATGAGTCAGAACTAACTCAACAGCACTTAACAACAACAACAACAACGTGGTGACTGGAGCCCTAGTGTAGCACTGAACCGCAAAGTCAGTTTGAACTGCAAGATTGGCGGTTCGAATCCACCAGCTGCTCTTTGGAAACCGTTTACAGGGTCACTATGTCTGAAAGGACTTGACTTCACTTAACAACAACAACAACAGTGTGCTGGCTGGAACTGCAGTTGCCTTGGCAGGGCCAGACCACCTGATTTTGCTGACCTTGTACTGCCAGCAGGCCGGACGTTCCCAGCCTTCCTATACAGCGGCTCTATGCGTTGGAACTGACTCGTCAGTACTTAACAACAGCAACTGTGATTTGGCAGCAATATTTTTGATTTCCCTTCAGATATCTTTGTGGCCTCCGGCAAGATTGCAGAGTGAGGGGGAGTGCAGCAAAGTGTGGCGGGAGCAGGCGGGACTTCCTGTGTGGTTCCCTGTATCCTGCCCTCTGGTCCCGCTGCCCTGAGTTCATGGCTGCGGAATCTCTCAAACCTCAAGTTTAGCATTAACTATTTCACGTCATTTTTTGCTGTTCACCTGCACCCAAATTGTTAATGAGCGTCCTCTTAAATACTTTCTGGAGGAAGATAAAAGTAAATGCAGAAAAATCAATGTGTAGTGTTTGAAGATACACACTTTGTGGAAAATCATGCTCTATCCTGTGGGGGTAGGTTTAATAGAGATGACGTGTTTAATAGAAATGACTGTTGTTTTGCTTCTGTTACAATTTCATGTTGTTTATTGATAAATTAAACGTGGGATTTTTAGAAACAAATTCTTTTTTTAAGCTTGCTTCTTAGACAATGAGAAATTTCCCATGTGTTTTTTTTCCCTCATGAATTTTTCACCTGAAGTTCAAACGTCATGTTGGGGAAGAAGAGGAGGACACTAACCTGTGGATTGGTTACTGCGCCTTCCACCTGGGCGACTATAAGAGAGCTCTGGAGGTGAGTGAGAGACACTGTTCAGAACACAGGGTCCAGTGCGGTCCTGTTACAACAACTCATGCTCACAATGAGATTCAGACAGTTCAGGGAGAACAAATAGCAAGTGAAAAAAACCACCCGTCAGCCTTGCCCACCCTTCGGGTTTGTCACAGTGGTAGTGGTGTGTGTAAGATATTGCTTTCGAGGCCCTCTGTGTATCTTCAAGTCTATCTTGTTAGCTTTTTGTTTTATGCAGATACTAATGAGACTGTGGAGGCCAGGTGTGGCGCTGAACTGCTAACCACAAGGTTAGTGGTTCAAGCCCACCAGCTGCTCATTGGAAACCCTGTATCGGGCCTCTATGAATCAGAGCTGTCTTGAAGGCACTTAACAACAGCAATGAAACTGTTAACAGTCATATTAACAGTCATTTTGATTTGTGGCATTGATTACGGTCCCCACAATGTGACAGTGCCCTTCCCACTTCCTCCCTTGTGCAGTGTTTCCACTCGTCTTTGTTTCTAGTTCTTGCCTGTCTGCAGAGCTGAACCCCTGGACAAATACTGCCCTGTCAGACTCACACAGTTGGGTGGTCTAAGGAGGGCAACAGTTGTATTTCTTAAGTACATTTCAGAAGAGGAAAAATAAGCCATTTAAAACAATTTTGTTGAGGCAAAGTATATTAAAAAAAAAGTTTGTCGTTTTACCCATTTTTGGAAGTTGTACAATCATCACCACTGTCTGTTTACAAAAGTTTTCCATCTCCTCCCAGCACAGAGACTCAGCACCCCTTTCAGCAACTCCCACCCCCCGCAGCCCTCTAGCCCCATAGCCTCTAATCACCTAGGTCTCTATACATTGTCTATTCTAGATGGTTCCTGTCAGTTATTATTGTTGGCAAGTGCTGTCAAGTGGATCACAACTCATAGTAACTCTGTATAGCGTTTCTGAGGCGTACTGGTAGGTTTGAGTCTCCAATTCCCCACAATTAGCACTCCAGTGCTTATCCTACAGCGTCACACCAGGGCCCCATGTGGGACCACAGAATATTTGTCCTTTTGTTTCTGACATATTCCACTCAGCATCACATTTCCAAAGTTGATCCAAGCCATAGCTCATATCAAGACTTCTCTCTTTATGGCTAAAACATGAACCATTTTCTTAAGAGCTTTCATGAGTCTTTTCTCAGAAGCAGTTCATTTTCACTTTGCCTGGTTATTTGTAGGCATATATAGACATAACAAGATTCATTGTTGGTTTAGAAGCAGTCATTATTAAACCTACCCATCTCCAATGACCTGTCTGTAAGCTGAATGATCCAAATCTAAGGATAATTAGAGATGCCCCGTGCCTAGCAAATTTTAATTCCTACGTAAAGTTGTTTAAGCATTTCTCACGTATTTTGACGGCTAAAATGTAGCCCAAGGATAGTTGAAGAATCCTCTTCAGACATAGAACAGTGGGTGGGGGAGCTGGTAAACATCTCTGCAGGTCAGCTTATCCAATCTAGGCGAACAGCCCTGTTCCATTAGACAAGCCTGACCCATCCATTGCTCCACAGTCAAGGTGATGTCGTGCTTCCTCTATGTTTCAGGAATATGAAAATGCAACAAAAGAGGAGAATTGCAATCCTGAAGTCTGGGTGAACTTGGCCTGCACCTGTTTCTTCCTTGGGATGTACAAGCAAGCAGAGGCAGCTGGGTTTAAAGGTGAAATGAACCCTTTACTAGCTGATAGTCTTCACACATAGAGTCCTTTTGGAGGTTTTAAACCAATTCAGTCCTTTTCCTGGTGAGAAAAACATGAGCAGCATTAGAAAGCTTAAGAATAGCTTCCTTCCTCAAAGAATGAGTATCAGATTTTCTTCAAAGAATATTAGATTTCAGTGTAGGACCAAGAAAAAGACTCCATTCTGTACATTAGCCTGAACACATCCTCCTGTTCCAGGAACGTGCTAAATCAGCTCATGCTGCCTTAGAATATCCTTTCACCCCTAGCAACAGCGAGAACTAGATAAGCAGTAGACAGGACAACCCAAGGCCAGATGCCAGATGTTTTCCTTATCCTAGCCTAAGAACAAAGACCACCAGTGCTGACCAATTAAACTGTAACATCTCATACTTTGCCAAATGTCAACCAATCCAAATATTGTAAAGCTGAAAAACCCTGAGCTTGTTTGAAAACTCTATAAAAACTCCGCTAACAAAGAGCTCGGGGCCTTTTCCCGAGTCCGCTGTGCCGGATACGGAGAAGGCCCAGGCTTGAGCTTGAATAAACAACCCTTGTGCACTTGCATCGGCGTCAGCTCCTTGGTGGTCTTTGGGGAACCTGAATTCTGGCATAACATCAGCAACTTTAATTTTGAAGAGAGAGTTCATTCCCCACCCCACCCCCCCACCCCACCCCAAGAAGGGATGAATGAGAAAAAGGGCCCCTTCTTGGTCAGGTGTTCAAGCTGTGGTCAGGCGGTGTAGTAGTTCAGGCTCTGTGAGTTTGGTAGCTATTTTCCCAGTTTCTGAGTGGGAAGTCCAGTAATTTCAACCTGGTCATGGGAGAAAAGATGAAGGATGATTAGAGTGAGGATCAAATCTTTTAAATTCAGAGGATGTGGACAAGGGAACATTTGTCAGGGAAGAATGTCTTCCAGAGGAGAAGAGCTCGAGAATTAACTGACATACATGTATTTTGAAAAATACTCCAGCTCGAATCCTTTCTTGATTTGTACCCAAATTATTTTATATGCATTAGTGTCATTTTTCCTAATTTAAGTTACTTGCTCCATCTCACATTTCTTAGACACATGGATAGTCATATACCTGTAAAGTTATCATTCCTGATGTATAGCTATTTTTTTATTTTTCATAGAGTGAAGTATGACTTTTTGTTGTAAAAGAGATGTAGGATTGGACCTCCAGAATCAGGAAAATGTTCTAAGAATGTGAAGACAGTTTGGCAATTATTGGTGTTCATCCACCTCTTTGTTTGGTTACTTGTTTCGATGAGACAGATGATCAGAGCAGCAGTTTCATGGAATAGAGGTGGGGCTGGTCTCCAGGAAAAGAGGTGGAGTGTACTTGTAGAAAAGGAGATTTCAGGCAGATTGACCAGGGAGACTGGGAAGAACAGCTGAGGAGAGGAAGTTCAGCCCGTGGCAGGTGGCTGCTTCCTTGCTGTGTGTGGGTGGGGGGTGGGGGGAGGGCTTTGCTGTGGCTCCTCAGTAGAAAGAACCAGGGCTAGGGCAGAACCCAGTCTGAGAGCAGTTTTCTTCAGGCTCTTGATGTTCACACTTTCCAAAACTTCTCGGAAAGTTGGATGAAAAGAGAACGGAATTTTCCCACAAACTTTTGGAAGTCCCCCTCGTAGAGTAAAGCAGAGAGACTCTATCTCACTTCATTCCTGTTCAGAGCTTTGCGTGAGCAGTGTGTGCTTTTCTTTCAGCTCCAAAAAGCCGGCTCCAGAACCGTCTGCTCTTCCACTTGGCTCACAAGGTAACCTGTGTTTCTAGCTCACACTTTCAGCTTTGAAACTAGCTTTCTCTTTCTTCCTTCTTGTTTCCAGCAATGATGAAGAATAATGAGCTGGAAGCTCTTAGTATGTTCTAGAACTAGTGGGAATAAGTTTCAGTCCTATAGGATTGCTCCCCATCCACGTTCCCAAGTCTCTTAATTTATTCAGAGGTGGTAACTTTTAGTTCTTCTTGAGTGGGGGCTGTTACTGTTAGTCTGGGCGTACTGTCCTATTCAAAGTCGCCCCACCTTGCTGAGCCCTGGAAATAAGACACTCTTCAGAAGTAACGTGTAGCAAGAATTTTGATCTCCAAAAGATGCCTTAGAGAACCTTTTTTTTTCAGGTTACAAACCTTAAATATTATACTCAAAAATATAAATGTTATTCTTAAGTGCCGTCAAGTTGGTTCTGACTCATAGTGACCCTGTCTGTGTAGGGTTCTGGAGGAGTGGCTGGTGGATTTGAACCGCTGAACTTGCAGTTCAAACTGACCTTGTGGTCAAGTGCTTATCCTCCAGCAGCACACCAGGATGCTGTGGGATATAAAGAAGTAGGGAAACTACAACATCCACCGTATACCAAAATAGCTTCCTGTGGAGTAACTGTCTTCATATGCACGTTTAGCTCCACTTTACAGAATTGAACTCATGCTGCATAGGTATTTTTATAAATATTCTGCTTTTTTTTTACTTGTCCTCATATGATAAGCATATTCCTGTATCACAGATTCATCTCAGAAACAGGATTTAAAAGAATTGCTCCATCACCTTTCATCAAATTCACGTGCCATAGTTTACTTATCATTGCCCAGTTTGACCTTTAGATGGTTTTTGAATTTTACAAAAATACCATTCTAAATATCCTAGATATGGAGTTACTGGGTTAATGGGTATGAATTAAAGTTTTAAATTCATACTGTTGGATTGTTTTGCAGGAAGTTGTCTAATTGCCTACCGACAGCATTTGAAATAATAATTTGGGGTATTTTACATTTTACATAATTGTGATGTGTCTCTGTTTAGTTCTGTCAGGCTTTGCTTTATGTTTTTCAGACTGTTATTACGAACCTACAAACTGGATTATGATGTTTTCCTAGTGGACTGAAACATTTGCATTATTGAAAGTCCTCTTTATTTTCTCTAGTAATTCCTCTCCACTTAAAACTCATCTTGTTGAATTTGCATTGTAGTGAGTGTTTGACTACTGTGTCTCTCTCCATCCATTTACTTCCTAAGGAGCTCTGGTAGTGTAGTGGTTACGAATCAGGCTGCAAACCTCAAGGTCAGCAGTTCAAAACTACCAGCTGTTCCACAGGAGAAAGATGAGGCTTTCTGCTCCCATAAAGATTTACAGCCTCAGAAACCCTGTGCAGGGTCACTATGAGTTGGAACCAACTCTGTGTCACATAACCACCACCACTACTTCCTAAGAAGCCTTGATAGCACAATGGTTAAGTGTTTTGCTGCTAATAGTAAGTGAGCAACCGAAAAGTTAGTGGTTCAAGCCCACAAGCCGCTGCGAGGGAGAATGATGTGCTTCTGTAAAGATGTTCACCTTGGAGACCCTCCTGAACAGTTCTCCCTACAGTACAGGCTCACTATGACTCAGGATCAACGCTCTCTACAGCCGGAGTACTTTCTATCTATTGTTTCCCTGTGTTTACGCTTTCTCTCTATGAACGTCATATCGTTTTGTGAATTTTTACCCAATTAAAAATCTTCATACTTTCAATTCTGTTATTTAACATGCTTACTTAGTTGAATGTAATTACTGGTATGGTCGAGGAGCTCTGGTAGCATAGAGGATTACAAGTTGAACTGCTAATTGTAAGGTCAACAGTTCGAATCTACCAGCTGCTCTGTGAGAGAAAGATGAGACTTTCTGCTCTTGTAAAGCTTTACAGCCTTGGAAATCCTATACAGGGTCGTGATGAGTCAGAATCGACTCCACAGCACAGCACCACCACTGATGTGGTCAGCTTTATGACTCACTTCTTACTAGTTGTTTACCCCAACTGGTCTGTGTACCTTTTCCTCTCTCTTGTCTTCTTTTAGATTGATTTTTTTTATCTTCCCTAATATCAGCTTCTTAACTGTGTATACCTTTAAAAATATAATTTTAACAGTTACCCTAGCATGTGTTTTTCACCTATGAAATTTTAATAGTAATTGGTATTTTTTTTACCAATTTCCTGACAATTCAAGGACCTTCTGTCATTTTAACTCATTTGTTGTTGTAATTTTCTTAGGTGACATCGAGTCGGTGCTGACTCATAGCAACCCTATGCAAAACAGAACAAAACAGTGCCCGGTCCTGGGCCAACGTCACTGCCATTGCTATGCTTTAGCCCATTGCTGTTGTCAGCCCATCTCCTTGGGGGTCTTCCTCTTTTTTTGCTGACCCTCCATTTTACCAAGCATGATGTCTTTCTCCAGGGACTGGTCCCTCCTGATAATATGTCTGAAGTATGAGAGATGAAATCCGGCCATCTTGGCTTCTAAGGAGCACTCTGGCTGTACTTCTTCCAACACAAATTTGTTTGGTCTTTTGGCAATCCATGATACTTTTAATATTCTCCTCCAACACCAGAGCTCAAAGGCAGCACTGCTTCTATGATCTTGTTTATTCATTGTCCACCATTCACATGCATATGAGGTTATTGAAAATATCATGGCTTAGGTCAAGTGTACCTTAGTCCTCGGACTGGCATCTTTGCTCTTGAATACTTCAAAGAGGTCTTGTGCAGCAGATTTCCCTAATGTAATACATCATTTGACTTTTTTTTTTTTTTAATGTTTTATTGTGAATTATGTGATAGTTTACATGAGAGAACTTTAGTTTTACATTCATTCTATCGTATATCGTCTCATTGCCATGGTTACAATCCCCTCCATGCATCATCAACCGACCAAAGGGTATACCCTACAAACCCCCCCCCTCACTCCCCCCCCCCCCCAAGTCTTCAGCACACAGTCCCTCTCCCTCTCTGGATCCAAAGTCCCCAGCTGCTTCATCACTCCACGTCATCGCATTTGACTTTTTGACTGCTGCTTCCATGGGTGTTGATTGGTGATATGAGCAAAATGAAGCCTTTGACAATTTTAATCTTTTCTCCACTTATGATGTTATTTATTGGTCCAGTTGTGAGGGTTTTTGTTTTCTTTACATTGAAATGCAATCCATATTGAAGGCTATGATTTTTGATCTTCATCAGTAAGTATTTTAAGTCTTCTTCACTTTCATCAAGCAAGGTTTTATCATCTGCATATCGCAGGTTGTTAATGAGGCCTCCTCCAGTCTTGATGCCACGTTCTTCTTCATAGAACCGAGTTTCTTGGATTATTTGCTCAGCATACAGATTGAGTAAGTATGGTGAAAGGATACAACTCTGGCACACACGTTTCCTAAGTTTAAACCATTCATTATCTTCTTGTTCTTTTCAAACGACTGCTTCTTGATCTATGTGTAGGTTCCTCTCATGAGCACAATTAAGTGTTCCAGAATACTCATCCTCCACAATGTTGTCCATGGCTTGTCATGACCCACACAATCGAAAACCTTTGCATAGTCAGTAAAGCACAAGTGATATTCTCTGCTTTCAGCCAAGATCCATCTGATGTCAGCAATGACATTCCTCGTTCCACGGCCTCATCTGAATCTGGCTTGAACCTCTGGCAGTTCTCTGTCAATGTACTGTTTCAGCTGTTTTTGAATTACCTTTAGCAAAATTTTACTTGCATGTGGTATTAAATATATTGTCTGATGATTGCCGCATGCCATTGCGTCACCCTTCTTTGGGATCTTGATGATTTTATCTTCTTCCAGAGGGGCTTTACCTCTGCTGTCAGGCACTTATGACAGGGGCAAATCACCTTATTCTTGTCAGGGATTGCAGAAATTTAAAGTTGGTCTTCAGTTTCTTACAGCTCGTCTGTATCCTTTTCCCTCCTATGTCTAGCTTTTCAGGCATCCCAGCTGAAAGCCTTGATGGTCCTTGCCCATGTTTGTGCAGTAAAACCCATAAGACTTGTAGAAACTGCATGGTCTTCAGCACGTCCACCAGCAATTGAGAACTGGTCACTGGTTTAAGAGAAAACGTGGCACTCATCATCAGTCTTGCCTCTGACACTTGCCTTCTCTGTAGTGTCTCACATTTCAATACCATAATAGTGTCTCTTTTCCTTCTATTTTCCCTCTTTTTCTGTGTCAACCTTGGATAATAGTGTTCCCCTTTTTGCCATCTTTTCCCTTTAAAGAGGACCATGAATATTTTTCCATGTCAGTTGCTAGTCTACAGAAGAGCTTGTAAATGTCATCTGAGGGCTGGAAATTAATCATAAATGGGATTCTCGGACCATGTATTAAATTTTTTAAATGTGAACTTTAGGAGGTGTCATACCGACATGTGGGTTCTGGCATCCCTTGAAACATTAGAAGATTTGAAAACCATGGATTTGCAGTTCTACATCAACAATGGTTGAAGCTCAGTTATGGGTACTCCTTTTTAAGGGCTAGGCTTTCTGTATTTCCCCAAGTCCTGGAAGCTCTGTAGCCTTTTAACGTGAAACTACAACACTCGGCTGCCCTTCATTTTAATACACTCGCAGCGTTCGTTCATCTAATCGATGCACCATTACTAATAATTTTCCTATTGTTGTGATTTGACTTCTTTCATATTTTCATGCCCAGTACAAGTGGTAAGATTTGGAGCCTGTTTTCTTGCTGTTTATTATCAATTAAGCAAAGTATAGGCAGAAAAGAAAATTTAGCCTCAAAATAAACCTTCCCAAGCTCGCCTTTGACATAGAGAAGCTGCACTCGTTTGTCTCTTGCATCAAAGCAATATTCAAATCATTCTTAGAAAAATTCTCTCTGATATATCAGTCATCAAACTGGAAGTCAATTTCAGAATTTGTGTGTGTGTGGCTATTTTAAAGTGTTTTCTGCTGATTAAAGCCTATCTCCACACAAGGTGGTGGTGGTGGTTTTGTGGAGTCAGTTCCAGCTGTTAGTGACGCTATCAGGTTTCCAAGGCTATAAATCTTTGTGGTTGTTAAGTGCCATCAAGTTGGTTCCGACGCATAGTGACCCTGCAGAGAGTTTCTAAGGAGCAGCTGATGAGCTTGAACCACCAACCTTGTGACTGAACCAGCATGTCAACCTTACAGTTCAATGCATGAACCCACAGCACCATACCAGAGCGGAAAGCCTCATCCTTCTGCAGAGCAGCTGGGTAGATCTGAACTGCTGACCTGGTGGTTAGCAGTCCAGCTCATAATCCACTGTGCTCCCACGGCTCCCTGCACTAGGCGTGAGGAATCTATATACATCTTAAGGTCTCTCACAAAGAGTATGCACCTGTACGACCTCCTGTATCTAGTCCTGGTGAGGCACTGTAGGATAAGCACTGAACTGCCAATCACAAGGTTTATGGTTCACACCTACCAGCTACTCCTCAGAAACCCTATAAAGGTTCGCTGTGAGTGGATACTTAACCGTGACAAACCCTATGTATAACAAAAACCTCTAACTGATACCTAGTACCATCAGGTTGATTTCAACTCATAGCAACCCTGATAGGGTTTCTGAGACTGTAAAATCTGTGGGAACATACAGCCTCATCTTTCTCCCGTGGTGGGTTTGAACTGCTGGCTCCTTGATCAGAGGTCCAGCACCTCGCCCACAGCACCTAACCCACCCAAACTAAAGGTAGCTATTACTTGACGAACCACTTAACAAAATCTACATACAAGGTTAGATAGACTGTCCCAAGAATGGAAGAGTGGATGAACATTAACAAGTGTTTACTATGTCACAACACGAGAAAGACATTTTGATTCCACGTTTCCTACAAAGGAGAAAGAAATACAAAAGTACAGGTAAACAGTCTCTGTTTCTAGAGCAGAGGCATAGGAAAACCTAAACGGAGGGAAGAACTAGAACAGGGGAGGGGGCTATTTTAATTCTCTCCCTGAAGGAGCCATGAGGAGAACAAGGAACCAAGGGAAATGGGAAGATCCAGACACAAAGGAGGCAGAGGAGGACGAGTTCTGACCTCTAGAGCCTAGATGTTGCTTTCTGTATGCATACACTAAGGAGGATGTTAATGTAGGCTTTTCCTCTCTCCCAATTTTAGTTTAATGATGAAAAGAAGCTGATGAACTTTCATCAGAATCTCCAGGATATCACAGAAGATCAACTCAGTTTGGCCTCCATCCACTACATGCGATCGCACTATCAAGAAGCTATCGATATATACAAGCGAATCCTGCTAGATAACAGGTCTGCGCTCTTGACCTTGCCTACTCAGAGTCATGATCGTTCCGTAACGAGTCTGCCTAAAGACCTGGAACTACCGTGCGCACAAATCTGCAATGGCAATGTGCTGGTGGGACCAGGCTCTCCTTAGGGCTGGGTCAGAGTTTCTCCTCCTCTTTTTCACTATTGTCACCACCCCACCAAGGAGCCTATTTAGACGTTTTTACATAATTGTCCCCATGACATTTGAACCCCACAGAAACCGCATCTGTTTATGCGTTGTGTATGTATATCTGTGCTTTACACATAAAGTAAGTACAGTTTGGCACATGCACACACATACTTCCTCCCAAGAACCAACTTCCGCCTTTCTGAGGGGAATGTTGTATGTGGTGAGAGTGAACAGGACAGATGCTCCAGTCACTGTCATCATTACAGTGGAGCCGACTTACCTATAGAACTAGAAATTGACCATCTTGAAGAATCCAATGTTCTAGCTCTACAACTAGCCTTTCTCCTGCTCGCCAGACGATCACGCACGCCTCCCTTCTCGGTTCTTGGCTTGACCATCATAGTCTCCCCCGATCCCCCTTCTGGTCATCAAGCCCACCTGGCCTGTCTGGCCTTTCTCCATTTGGTGTGAGCTTCTGTGTATTTAGGCTCAACTCCATCATGTGCCTGTGTATTAGCACGAGCAGGTAGAAGTTGAAGTTTCCCTTCTCTGTCTGTCATCTTTGACTCTCTTTCTATATAACAGCAAAATATTACAATGAAAACAGAAAAAAACGGATCCCAGTGATCATACCTTGCCTTCTGCCCTCATGGCTTTGCTTTCTACCTGAGCTGTTCAAAAAAGTGTCTGATTTGACAACATTTCTTGATGCAGACGGACTTAACTGTTACCCTTCGCTCTTCCATTTCATAGGGAATACCTTGCTCTCAATGTGTATGTGGCCCTCTGTTACTACAAGTTGGACTACTATGATGTGTCTCAAGAAGTTCTAGCTGTTTACCTTCAGCAAATTCCTGACAGTACCATCGCTCTCAACCTGAAGGCTTGTAACCATTTCCGCCTTTACAACGGCAAAGCAGCTGAGGTAGGCATGCTCAGATTAAGGAGCTTCCCGAATTCTTGTGTTACTTTGCTCAGTGTTTTTTAAATGCCAAGATGTGGTCTTATCAGCATCATGCATTATGTAACTACTGAGATGGTCATATCATTTTCTCTCTGTTTCATCTGTTACTATGACAAGGGACAGAGACTGAGCTATTTTCCATTGTTAAATCAACTTTGCATTGCCAGATGAATTCCAGTTTGGTTATAGTGTATTCTTTTTACATATCACAGGACATACTTTGTTCAGAATTTAAGATTTTTGCATCGATACTTATCAGTGATTTTGCCCTTTTTTTTTTTTTTTTCTGTATTATTCATCAGGTTTTAGTACAAAGATTAGATAAGCCTCATTAAGTGAATTGGGAAGGGCCCCACATGTTTCTGTTGTGTACAAGACTATAAGACTGCCACGATTTCTTCCTTAAAAGTTTGGTAGATTTGTTAATGAAGCAATCTAGGCTTGGAAGATTTTAAATTACTAATTAAGTTTCTTTCTTATAGGACTTGGTGATGTTTTCTACTTTTTCTTGTGTCATTTGCTGTAGAAAAATTTGACCATTTTATTTACATTTTCAATTCTTTGGCAGTCTTGTAAAAAACCAACTTTTGGTTTTATTAATCCTTTTACATAATTGTGTTATTTTAAATTCGTTTCTGTGCTTAGCTCTGTTAATTCCATCTGTTTTGTTTCAGTGTGTTTTGCTATAATTTTTTAAATCCTTGAAATAAATGCTGAACCTACTAATTTTTAACCATTCTTTTCTAAAATATCATTTTACGTTAAACCTTTTTTCTCTAGCTATTGAATTAGCTGCATTCCAAGTGTGAATACCCACTATAATTTCTAATTTCTAGTGTAAGTCCTTATTTTAGATTAATTAGAAGCATATTTCCTGATTGTTCCATCCACAAGAGAATTTCCCAGTGATCTTTTTGCTAGCAATTTGCAGCATAATTGTCTTGTAATCTGAGAGATTGTCCTGTATGGTGTTATTCCTTTGATATTTCTTGAAACTTGACTGTGTGTCTAGTATGTGGTCAGTTTCTCCAAGCTTGACTAGAATATGTTCTTTGAAGATATTGGTGCATGATTTTGTGTACAGCTATCCCGTACTTTTCAGAATTCTCTTTACACCTCTTTACTTTTATGAAAGACAGATGTTAATGCCTGTTTTCTGTAACTGAAAGAAATCCAAAGAGGATTTTTGCTTTTATGAAAAAAGGTGAAAAGTAAATCAGGCATTTGCTGTGCAGCTCTGTCACGTTCATAATTCTGTTTGAATCTCAGGCATTCAAAAAGCACTGAGAATGTCTCCCCCTAGCTGCTTCCCAGGAACTGCACCAGGCTTCTCAGCAATAAACTGAGTTCCTGACTTTGAACTGTGTCCGTGAACACTGGATGTTAGCTTCAGTTTAGGTTTTATGTGTTGTTTGGTCTGATTTGGTATGTTGTTTTTTGAGTCTGGGAAGGCTCAATACATTTTCCCATATAAATTAACGATAATTGTTTCTTTGCTTTACACCATTTCGGCTTAACTGAAAGTTTCATAGAAATGTTCTACTTTCAGAGGACAGGGCAAACTATATCCATTTTGTTAAGTAGATCTTTGATGATGTACAGGGGTTCTATAGAATATTCAGATTGTCTGTTCAGCATCAGGTGGGTTCAAGCCTCCCACTGGAGCTCTGAACTGGTCTATTTCTTCTAGTTCTTTCCATTTTTGCTCTATGGATTTTTGAGGCATATGTACAATTTTAAGTTGTTGCATCTTCCCGGTGAACTGACCCTTTCTTTAGTATAAAGCACCGCTCTTTTCTCTAATTATACTTTGGTCTTCAGACATTTTGTATGCTCTTAACGTGGTTATGGAGTCCTGCTGTGGTACTGTAGGATAAATGCTGGACTGCTAACTAACTGCAAGGTTGGCGTTTCAAAGCCACCAGCTTCTCCTCAGAAACCCTATACAGGGTCACTGAGTCGGAACCGACCCAACGAC